CACTTCTCTCTAACACAGACATAAGGAAGCCTCATTTCTGAACTTCTTCAGTGCTTCTCTCTCGTAAAAATCCCCACTGTCTTTACAGCTCTGTGCTGGATATGGGAAAGAATGGCACACCACTGCTCCCCATGTGCAGCAAGTTCATGTTCTGCATCACTCAAAAAGGAGAGAGTCCAAGCATGCTGAGCTTGAAAGCTTATCTGTTTTTTCAATTGTATCACTTGGCTTAATAAAGCATATTACCTCTGTCTAGAAGCCTCGCCTGAACTTAAGACAACAGTGCTGATTTAATCATGTTTGTCTGAATTTCTATGGTTTACTGTAAGGTTCTTTGATAAAAGAGATTAGACAAACAAAAACAGTCTTCTCTAATTTCTGCATGTGTTTACTTACGCATTTGACAGAGCTTTCAACATTACAAGTTTCATTGTTTCATCACACCTTTGTATTTGCGAAAGTAGGAAAATGCGGTTGTTAAACCACAAAAAATGCTAAGGGGAATCAGAGGCAGCCAGACTACTTCTGATTCTTTTAATTTTATACACACATACACACCCTTACTTATACACACATGTATGAACACATATAGAACTAAAGAGATTTCAAACAGACTGTTTCTTTTCAAGATACTTTTTGCAAAACTAACACTGCACAGAGAGGAATCAAGCTCAGCTCTGTGCGATCGGTATGTTTTCAAAACATTGTCTTTGCATACAAAACGCAACCGTGGCAGGTGGGGAAACCCATCCGTGACAGGTATCAGCACGCCTCCGTGTAAATTATGTCTTCTCCTTTCTATTGGAAATGTCTGCAAAATAGTGTCAGAACTGACGGCAGCACACATCTGGAAGACCCCAGGGCTGATCCCATCAGATTTTCTGAGATCCAATATAATAAAATTACAGCAAGCCCCAGATTCCTACTTCTCACGTTTGACAACCAGGCTCGAGTTAAAAAGCCAACACGCTAACGCTGACAAGAGAACTCTTTAAAAAATACAATTCATTTCTCCATTATTTATGACCAAACAACAACGGCAAGTTGTACCCAAACTGCACAAAGAGGAAGGATGTCAGTGCAGCAACGTGAGAAGCTGAGCGCGGCGTGCTGACAGCTTGCTCTGCACACAAAGGCGGCGAGGTGACGGATGGCTGTCTCCTCCACCGTCTTCAAGCAAACAAGACATCAGCAGAACAAGTGCTTCTCACCACTGCAAGCTGACTCCACTACTAGATGCAGTACCAAAAACAGGACATGACCCAGGCCAACCGAGTGTGAGAAACAAAACAAAACAAAAACAACAAAAAAGCAAGCTCTAAGCAATTTAGAAAGTTGGCTGGTGGTTTCCCCTTTTTCTGGGTCATTTTTATTTCCTCCAGGCAGTAAGAAACAATTACTGCTCTCTTCAGAACTGCTTTCCCAGAAGATAATTACACCGTTTAGCAAGTACCTGATTCTAGATTAACCTTATTTCTCAGTATAGTAATACAGACTTTTAACAATTGTTTCCCAGAGAACACACAGAGTATCAGAGGAACCGACCAAACAAAAAGCACCCCTCCAGTAACGCTATGTGATGGATTTTTACTGTTACTGAAGAGTGGTTTACGGTATCAAATATCCACATCAGCCGCCAGCTTTTAGGTTGACTTGCCGATAAACTGTTTCTCATTGCACTACTTCAAGGTAGCCTCAACCAGCTTCTTCATTTCCCCCCGCCAGCCATTAATACCGCTTTGAATACATACCAAGTCATAGCCAAACAAGGATGACGCGCAGAAGAAAAAGCGCACTGCACACGCATGTGAAAATTAAGCAGTATACAGTTGTGAGCAGTGCAACCGAGAAATGCCCACGTGATAACCAGCCTTCTCAGTCAATTATATTAGTAAAACCACAGCCGTGGTTAGTTACAAAGCCTCGTAATAAAATGTGACAGACTTCAGATGCCAGCTTCCCTCTACACATCTTAAGATTGAAATACTCCGGGAAAAACGGTCTGATTTATTAAATCCGCTGATCAAATCAACTGAATAGATTGGCATGGGATAAATGAAAAGAGCTGTAGTAGTGATGCTGTCTTTGACTCGCCACAATTTTGTCTGAAATCCAATGCTTTTTTTTCCCCCCTGTGGACCGATTATCTTAAAAACATGAATAATAAAACCAAACATCATTCTTGTGACCTTCACGAACAAATGCAACAGAACGTGACAACTTGTTTAACATTCCTAAAAGAAAACCAGTTATTTCAGATCCAGCCGCCTTTCAATCCATGAATTCCCAAGCATACACCTTCTCTTCTAGGGAGCGCAGATTAGATTTAATAACGAGTTCCAAATAATCTGATTTCACCTTCCTCTACCGACTGCACCCTTCTCAGTACAACTCTGATCCCCACATGCTTTCTGTATTTGCATTCCCATTGCTAGTTACAGCAGTAAATGAAAGCTGCCCAGCACGCACATGTGGCTTATCGTTCCCATATGCTGTAGGGTGTGCAGACGTCCTCCAAGCATATTCTAATCGCCTCACGCTTCACCTTACAGAAAGGCTAAATCATTCAAGTACCTCAAAACACAGGCCAAGGTCAGCACTTCTCACACCTTAACTTCTTAGAACTGTTCTACCTTAAAAAAGCCATCCCATACAGAGACAGCTATCAGTTTGCGTGTGTGTTTTATTAGGCCTTGGAGAGCACTGGAGGGGGTGAATATGAATGAAACATATGGGCAGCACAAAAGAAACCCGTATTTCAGTTGGACTTTATGGACAACAAGATGGTTTGAGATCTCACCAATTGCAATGATTTCAGTTAGAGTATTCTGGATTTACATCAATTTAGCAAAGGTCATGTTCTGGCCTAATTAAAGTCAAAATCATAACTGGAGAAAATGAGTATCTGATAATCATCCTTCTGTTAAAGATAAATAAAAGACCCATCTGCACCCTGCTTTGTAAAATTTGGCAGACATGGCTTCACGCAAGCTGCTATATAGCTGCTTTCATGAACGTATCAGGAAATTTGAAAACAGCTAAATATATACGTGCGCGTGTGCCCCAAACGTCAAAACGAAATTCAAATGCAAAGCTGATCATTAGGAAGTCATTTTTCGTAACACAGAGAGGACTGAGAGCACTGATTTGGGCGGAAACCAGAGTAAAAATAATGACATTTTCTTCAGTTAAGTAGGGTCTGAAACAGTAAAATTTATTTGAAAGGAAACCGTAAGCATTATCTTCAGGTTTTTAAACAATCTACATGCTACCTGTATCGCTAGAGTGGTATTTCAAAATCCCATTTTGTCTGTTATTGCAGCCACTCACACCTGTAGCGTCACTACACGCTATTTGCAAACCTGTGAAAATGGGCACGTTCAAAACCATTTCACTCAAACCCGTCTTCATTGCACCCTCAGTTGTTTCTGAAAATTGCTTTAGACAAACTGGGAAAAGGTTAAGGGAGTTAATTTCCATTAAATAGCATGAGCTTTTAAACCAGTAGAGTGCTGAGAAAATGCTAAATGGAATGTCATCCTGGCCAGAATGCACTTCTTTAAATACTTCATTTCTGGTGCCAAAATCTTTAACAAGGCAGGCTTCTTAAATTCAGTGGGGGTCAGAAGTTTAGTTTATTCAGCAAGAATAACACCATTAACAGCTACTGCTCTTTCATGTCACCACAGTTGACGCCCACACATTCCAGCATTGGTTAATGCAGGCCAGTCAAGGAAGACTGGAGCTGCTAAGGGCAGTCATCTCTGCAGGGATATTTTAAACCAGAATTTATACTGTGCTTTAAAAACAATCTAAAAGGATCAATCTACCTTATGAATCTGCTGTAGACATACACAGAGAGAAAGATGGATGGATGAGAGCATATAAAAGCAAGTAAATCTGACTCTCGATATTGATTTTTGAGAGGACAGCGTAGAGCACTTTGGTGAGGTCTTATATATCATTGGAAAGGACCAAATGCCATTGTGCATATGTCTGAAGGATGTCAGGATTTATCGTGAAGCAATGCACCGCTGTATTCTTTCATTATGTCCTTTTGTAAATAACCTTGTTTTCACGGCTGAGGAAGGTAGACCACTGCAAATTAAATACTACTCAACACAAACATGAGAAAACAATCACAGGAGGACTCTTAGGCAGCTGCAACTGGAGAAGTGCACCACTATCAAGCCAAAAATTGCAATAGCTTAAAGTACCCTTGCAGTATTTTTAGCATGAACAAGAGAAAGCTGGTATTTTAATAATGAGCTTTTGAAAACCAGAATGGAAAAATCTGCATATCACAGCATAATCCTCTTTCTACTGACTTTGTTCTAAATCGCAGCCTATCACCAGCTAGTGTTCCCCAAAGCTCTCCAGCACTCCTACTTGGCCAAATGCCTCCCAAGGATAGTCAAGAAATCAGTTTGGTTTAGCTAGCGCTTCTTCGCCAGATGGAACGTTTCTCTTTGAACACGCATGTTTTCCTCTTAAAACATGTTTCAAACAACCAGAATGCAAACAATCATCACAACATCAAATACAATTTTTAAGAGGGCTCTGAGGCCTCTATTACTATGTAATGGTGACCTTTTGGATCATAGGATCTGAGTTCCAAAATTATTCACCTTTGTACGTTTCTAGCCACTCCTATCCTTATATTCCCTTCGTGTTGTACATTTAACTAAAATCCTTCTGTTTAGCATATTTATGCTATTCTGCTAGCTATTTCTTAACATGCTTTTCTCCGTACAATGGCAGAAAACTATCCTATTTCTAATTGGGGTTACCTGGTAGGTCACTTGGAAAATCTGATTGTTTAAATTAGAAGTTTTTTTTTTTTTTTAAAAAAAGAAAAACTCACCAGCTGAGCTGTGACTGCCGTCGTACACAATGGCATCCCAAAAGACTAGCGAGCCCCCAGTTAGCGTCCAGGCAGATACAGCAAAGCCTCCTCATTAACATATCTAATAGACAAGCCTAATGAAAAAACAAGTTACCTTCTTCAGTTTCATGCCACACAATTCCTTCCAAGTTCACGCTGGTCCCAGGCTCACAGGGTCCAAGGCATTCGGGTTCTGTTACTACTCCAACCTCGCAAGTATTTACACCCACTGAACGAGTCCGTACCAAAAGCTGCTCGACTGGTGCTGCAATATTGGATGAAGATGGGGAAAAGTAGGAAGGCAGAATCTGAGGTGTGATACTGCTGGAAATCGGAGGTGGAGGTGCAGGCACTGTAAACAGGGGATCAACCTGAAAACAACAGACAAACTTACTATAATGGTGCTGTGAGATTTCAAAAAAAAAAAAAATCAAAAACAAACAAAAGAAAACCCAGTTTGCTTAGACTGCATTTGTGTATGTGGGGATTCGGTGTATCATGGGTGATTTCAATCTTATAAGCTCATCTAATTTTTTTTTAACATCAGCCCAAATGCTGCACATGAAAAATTAAGCACAAAAAAAAATCTATCATGCTAAACAAGGCAAATTGCTAAACTTCTACAAGACTATTCCCTGTTGTCATAGACTGCGAGCATGAAATAATAATAAAAATAAAAAAAGGATTAAAGCCACTTTTTTCTTAGCACTGACAGAGACTGATTTGTGGATAGAAATTAATTTTGCAAACTGGGAACTGTGTTTTCTATTTAAAGAAAAACATTTAGAAAGACAGTACAAAGACATATAAACGCCATTTTTTTCCTGTGCATCATAGACAAAACAGCACTTGGAACAATTCTAATATCCATATGCCATCAAACATAATCTCGTGTCATCTAACCATTTAAAATACATTAGGATCACCCACCTAACAGATCACATTTACATCTTTTCACTGGAAATAACAGATCAGGACTTTTACAAGAATTTATCCAATCCATCTAATTTCTAAGGATTTCCAAAATGTGTATGCGGAAGAACACAACTCGCCAGACAAGCAGCCTGTACACAGACAGTTCACATAGCGACGTTATCTATATAGGAATTGAAGAAGTTACTGGTCTTGCATGACTTCCAGTATACCCAGGAGGAGATTTTCTGTATATAGGCTTGGTCCTGAAGGCGCTCCGTATTATACTGTGGCCATGAGGTCCTTCGTGACATGAAAGAGTAAATGAGGAACGGAGGGAATGAGTGCACCCACTTAAGTAGCTGGCGAGCGCCAGGATCACCTCCTCGTTCGTACCACTTGGGGAATCCTCCCTCGATTTGTTACACACTAAAGCCCACGTTTGTTTGGCCCACCGGATCATAGGTTTCACATCAAGATGACCTTCTTCAATCCGACGGTTTAAAAAATGGCACTGCCTGCTTTCAAATAGATGATGAAACACCTTTATGTAGCTTTTCATTCTGGACCCCTGTAAGCAGGCCCACCAGGAAAGACAGGCTGACTCACAGCACGTTGCCTTCGAGGCTTCATTTAAGTGTATCTTAGTGCGGCTCAAAGTTAATTTGGCTTCCTTTTAAAGCAAAGCAGGCAAAAGAGGCAAAGAGAGGAAAGGACTGAAGGGTGTATACTTGTGTCATGTACTTTTTTCATCACTTAATCATCACTAGATCGGATCACTTAATCACGTGGCCACTTTTGATAGTGAGAAAATGAAATGGAAATCCAAAACCATAAAGAACTCTCTTAAAATTGCAAATGGCCCTTCCAACTGTGGATTCGTTTTCATTCTTTTAAGCACCATTGATACAAACTGAGAATCAGCCCTTCTTAACTGTGCACCCAAGCCTAAGGGTGATATATACATATAAAGAAAATTCTGTATGATCATTTATTTGTTTTTTGTCCTACCTGGCCATAAGCAAACACTTAAAAAAGAAAAAAAAAACACCCTCGATTCCGATTTTGATTACACTAGAACTGGAGAGAAGAGGCGCTACAAACAGACCCTTACCCAGTCTTTGGAGGGGTTTTTTGTTTAATTAGGACTAAAGCAATTTTTAGGTTAGAAACAGAAAAAAAGCAAGAAAACCAAAACAGAGCGCAAAACATGACTATTAGGTCTGCTAACGCCAGCAGCACTCTACTGAGTAAAGCCGAGTTACGGTGGCATAAAACCAACGCAGCCGAGCAATGAATCAGACTTTACATCTTTATTCCGCTCTCTGCGCCACGGCCCTCGCAGGGTTAGGCCGAGCGCAGGCGAGACCGCTGTGCGGAGCGCGCAGGCAAGTCGAACGTCAGCTGAGCCCCAACAGCAGCTGGTTTCTTGCGAGGTCTCCCTGAACTAGGTAAGCGTGACGTATAACCCCATGTACGCCCAGCGGGAGGGGACACTGGTTTTGTGCCCCACCGCTGCTGGCTGTCGGGGGCCAAGCAGAGGCAAAAGGTTAGGTGGCCCCGAGCCCTGCACCCCGGCACGGGCAGCGTAACGGAGCCCCAGCAGGGCAATGGAAGCAATCCGTACCTCCGACAGAGCTTAGAGGAGCTCTTCACGTATTTTACCTCCAGCCAGAAGAGATTCGGGAAGAGGAACCGGCAGATAAATGGAGCCCAGGTGCTCCAAAAGCTAAGCCACGTCCCTTTATAAAAACTAAGCAACGCTGAATGAACGGCCTGCTTCACAGTTTGCCTGCTGCTTCGGAAACCTGTGCAAAAGCTCCCAGGACGCAGCATTCTTCCATAAAACATGCTCGTCCCAAAGCCCGGGGAAACAAACAAAACGCTTGCGATTATCAGACTAAAACAGCAAATGTTTTACATGACTGTAGACAAAATTGGCAGATGCCGTCTTCCGTTTTCCAAGTATTATAAACAGTGAGGGGGAGCGAAAAGAAGAAAGCACGGATCTCACAGTGTCCCCTACTAAGTTCTTTGTTACAAATATTTGTACTTAGTTCTGGTTTATTTTGACTTGTTAATAAATGTTCATGTTTCCTACTCAAATAACTCAGGGCAGACAAGGCCAAAAAAGTGGCTGTTGCAGCAAAAGGGACTGTTCCTCCATCAGACCAGAACACTAAAACCTTCGGTCACAAAGCAAGTGGACGCTTACCGCCCCCGAGGGTCACGTTCGTTGTGCAAGGATGACCTCCCTCATGAGAAAAAAAAACACACAGAGCTTAAATATCGCCCCAGTTTCCCCCATTTTAAAATTATTCCATCTCGTTGGATAACCGGGCCATCAGCACAGCAAAGCGGCAGTTCGTAGCGATGCTGGAGTGACACCACTGTTTTCCCGAGCCCGCCGAAGGGCACTGATGTAAGCTATTAGCAGCCAAGAGAGAGGCAGGAAGGCGGCCATCTCCAGTGGAAAAAAGGCACATAAGTCTAACATCTGGTGGTGGCACTCTGTCAAACTGAGGAAAGTTAATGTCAAGAACAGACGCTCTGCAGTTTCTCGCTGTTATTTTTGCATGATTATTCCCAGGTGCTGGTGCACGCCGAGCGGTAGCCTGGCTGTTTATCACACCAGAGATTCCAATAGGAGGCCGAAAACCTAAACCCGAGTAAGGTCATTTTCACAGATACTCTCTTAATACACATGCTCCAAACCCGACAGAACTATTCGAGCAGTATTTTCTTCCTTCAGCCTGTTTCAAGGGCTTTGGAGAGCTGATTAGCACCGAAGGCTACAAAGTGGGGCGCGTTATTCGTGGCAGCGCTCCACCGCCGAGGCTTTGACTGTCATCAGGCAGTGGCGGTTCTCAGCCGTAGGCAGCACAACCAAAGGAGAGCAAGAGCTCCACGGAGTGCTCCTCGCTCTGAACAAGACACAAAGACGTTTTGGTGGCTGCGTGACATCAGTCGGTAGGAGGGAGAGGGTACGGAAGAGAGAAGAAACGTCACCCTGACCAGAAAGAGGCAAGTCTTTCTAACAAATAAGGACTTCCTGCAGTTACTCGGGCACTTTAATTTACACACTCAAATTAAGTTCCTCTCATGAAAGCTTATCTTCCCGACGCAATGTAAGGCTCTACAAACACGTCTGCAAATTAACATTTTGCGGCCTCTGTAAGCGATTTCCTGACAACCAGGAAGCATTCGGCGGATAATGCTGAGCTCATAGCAGGAGGGACATGGATTTGAGCGGACTCCTTAGGGCAGAGAGCCCAACATCACACTACCGCAATCAGCCAAATCTTAGGCCCCTGCTTGCAAGGACGGAAGAACCTTAAGTCTTCATGGGATAGAGCTCTGCTCCTGTGGAAAGCCTGCACGGATGAAAGAAGAGTGGTAACCCAGAAAGACGCTCCAAGCCTAATTTGCTATGGTACTAATCTGACCAAAAGGGGATTTATCATTTTGCTCAAAATAACCTCACTTGTCCCAGATACTTAAAACGACGGCTTCTGATCACATTATCAAGTCGATGTATTCTGTATATATTTCCTTCGTTTCAACTTTGCAAACTTTCAGATGGTGTGTATCTCAAGTGTGAAATGTTTTTTGTCACAAATCACAAAATGCAAACTAAATAACTAATAGCCCCCAAACCGCCCCCATCATTGTGTTGCAAGCAGGTATATAACTCTAAAAATATATGTAGCTCCACCTTATTCATGAAAATAATCCTTTGGCAGTGATCTCCGAAGGACAAGAGCCAGAGCTAGCAGACTAAGGCCCAACAAGGTCATACACTACTGCAGTGTCACCCAGCGCATGATTTTGAAGGGCCCATGCCATGTGCCATTTAAGCCATGTACCACTGTACAGCTCGGATCAAGGCAGAGGAGGAGGTTCAAAGCTTGGGGTAGCCCCTTCCAAGAGACCACACTGCCTTTTAAATTGAGAAAAATTTACTGTAGTAGAAAGAATGCAGAAAGAAGAAGATCCCAAACCTATTATGGGACGTACCTAAAAAAAAAAGCCTGACCCTTTGCAAAACTAAACCCTTCCTTAAGAAAGACTCCAATATAAGACTCAAAGGAATGAGAAACCTCCAGCCTTGAAACCAGCATTGACAAGTTCCTTGGAGTTACAAAATAATACTCCAAAGAATCATTATATCGGACATGAAAAGCAGGAAATAAAGGAATTCAACTCCATATGGAAGTTCCGCTTTTCTCCAAATTCCTTTACCAAAATTTTAGGGTAAAAGGGAGATTAACTTGTTTTTGTATAAAGTATGCCTGCCCTGCCTTGACACAGTTCTAGAGCAACAAGGACCCCGGAAGACCTTATTCCAAACTCATTCACAGCACCATAAATCAAAAGCAATGCTAACGAAATCAATAAAACTACTTTGGAAGAAAACAAACGTGGGAGAATGCAACATGGAAAAAATGCCTGTATGCTC